GCTGACCCCTTTTTTTGTGGTAGAATGTGGGCTTTTGCCAGAATTTCTGAAGGGGGTGGGCCTGGGAGCTTACATGGCCTGCTTTGAAGGTCAGCTCACATCTTGGGAATCTTCCCGAACTTGGGGCTTTTCTGTTTTATCCCCATGCGTTCCTGACAGGTGACTTGAGCAGCAGCCCACATCCTGAAAATTCCCTTTCCCTGAAGAGCCTGATACTCATTTCCAGAGCCTGGGGTCAAGGTCTAAAATGGAGTGTGTGCGGCCAGCGACAAGCCCAGAGTCTCTCGGCCGCCACCAGCCCTTCCCGCGTCTCCTAGTGCCTCAGCATTGCCCAGCAAAATGCCCACCAGTGCCAGGACCGGCCTGCCTGGCTGGCAGACCCGAAAAGGAGGTTCAGGGATGGCGAGGCGAAGATAAAGCCGTGAGGAAAGCATGAAGCTCTGCTGGGAGTTTAATATTTAGAAATCACGTGGCCAGGGCAGGCTCTGGGAGCCTGGGCCTTCTGGAAGTTCAGCTGAGCTAGGAGGCCAGGTCTCAATTATTCCACTGGCTTGTGGCCACAGCTCCAGATTTCCCCATACCTGGCCTCCAAGGTGCGCGCTGTTTCTCGGTGAGCCCTGAGAGATGGGAGCCGAGATTAGAATCCTGGAATGTGGGGTGGGGGAGCCTTCCCGCAAAGCCTGCCCCTCCCGCCCCCGGACTTCCTTGTAGGGATGCTCCAGCGAGCAGGCCCAGGCCCGCGGGGGGTGCTGAGGGGCAGGCGGGCCACCGGGGTGGGGGACGCTGGAGGCTTTAAGGAGCTCGCGCGGGTCAGGAATAGCGGCGGGGACCTCGCGGCAGCCCTGCCTTCCAGAGGCCGCCTGTGATGGGAGCCGGACCAGCATCCCGGCCTCTCCCCTTTCAAGACTGGCTAACATGAGTCATTTCACCGCTGGGGGCCTCGGGGCAAGAGCCTGATGGTGCTTTAAGGAACAAATGAGTATTTGTGAAAAGGCTTTCGTGTGTGGAAACTGTTGTACCACACGAATGTTCGAGGGTAATGATTATTTGAAACCGGAGAGGAATGTACTCATTAAAATGGGAGATAAGCACCCACACCTGGTCCTCCTTCCCAGGGAGCTGACCGGCGCGGGGCCGTCGGCTCAGACGGCGCTGCCCCCTCCCCCGGCCGCCACAGGGTCAGGGGGTGCGGGCTCAAACACGTCTGCGTGCCCACCGCATGCCCCACAGATGCGGGCAGGGAAGAGCCACGGGAACCGCCCGCCCTTGCCCCTGATGAACTGGAAGTCTAGCCAGAGAAGCAAACTGATGAATGACCACAGTAGGGCCTAGTAAATCCTGTCATCAAGGCCTGTCTTCAGTGGTGGGAACACAGATAAGAGAAGAATTCGTTCTGCTTGAGGGCGGGTCCCCGCCAGAGATAATATGGGGATTGGGCCTTCCGTGGCCCCTACAAGTTCACCCCGTGCGACCCAGGACTGGCCGTTGGGGGTGAAGATTAGGAAGAGCTGCAAAGCCCAGAGGCGGCCGCGAGCTTGGGGCGTGCGGAGAGCGGGGACCAGAGCTGGTCGTCCCCACTCGGCCCTGGGCCAGGCTCTGTGCGGGAGGCCGGCCCTGTCCGGGAGGGACTCTCGCAAAGCAGGGTCTGTTCTCTCGGGAGGGAGTGAACAGTTGCTGAAGGGCGGCCTTGAGCTGAGGTGTGCGAGGGGCTGAGATGGCCTTCCCAGCAGAGTGTCCACGGACACGCAGCCGGGCGCGCAAGAGCCGCAGCAGTCCGCGCGCTTGCGGAAACGTGCCGGGGTGCGGAACACATCAGAAACAAGGCTGCAGAGGTCGGCAGATCCACAGGGCCTGCACTGGAGGCTCCGAGGCCTGGCCCAGAGCTCCTGACCGTGGCTCCTCCCAGCGGTCCCCTGGGAAGCTGGGGGCCGTCCCCCTGGGCTGCCAGCTGAATGACGGGGACTCCCACACTGCACTGTAGGCTAACCAGCTCGCCTCTGTGGTGGGACCTGAGGTCCCCAGTGTGTTCCATTGGAACAGGTGTGGAAGCCATTGCCAAGTTCCCCAAGGCATGAGGGGAAGGGCCCGCGTACTATAAGGCCCACAACTTCAGGGATCACTCTTGGAGCAGAGGTTTGAGATGGCCTGAAAGGGGCAAGGCTGAAAGTCTTGGAGAACAAGCCCAAGAGAGAGCTGGCACCTTCTGGGGAAGAAATGGGAAAAAAAATCTATCTTAAGTGGATTTGTATGGAAATACTCAAGGAACCCTGAGTAGCCAAAACAATTTTGAAAATAATAATAATAAAAAGAACAAAGTAAGATATTTCATAGTTCCTGATTTCAAAACCTATTACAAGTTTATAGTAATTAAAACAGTGTGGTGCTGGCAGGAAGACAGACATAGAGACCAATGAAATAGAATAGAAACCCCCCAATAAACCATCACATATGTGGCCAAATGATTTGTGATTAGAGTGCCAAGACCATTCAGTGGGAGAAAGACAGTCTTTCCAGCACACGGTGTTAGGGACATTATGGGCCTGGAGAAGAGTGAGGTTGGATCCACACCCTATACCATACAGGAAAACTAACTGAGCACAGATCACAGACCTAAACATGAGAGCTGAAACTAGAAAAGTCTTGGAAGACGACAGAGGGGAAGAGCTTCATGACATTGGATTTGGCCCTGAAGTCTTGATTATGACACCAAAAGCAGATGCAACAAAGTAAAAATAGATCAATGGGACCACCTCAAAATTAAGAACTGTGCCCCCAAAGGACACAATCCACAGGACACAATCCACAGAGTGAAAGGCAACCTCCAGAATGGGAGAAAATATTTGCAGATCACGTATCTGATAGAAGGTTAGTGTCCAAAATACAGAAAGAACTCCTACCAACTCAATGACAAGCCACCTGGGTTAAAAAATGGTTAAAGGGCTTCTTGAACAGATATTTTTCTGAAGAAGATGCACCAATGACCAGAAGCTCCTGAAAAGAGGTCCCATATGAAAGATCCCATCAGAGGATCCAAACTCAGATCCAAACCATGATGCGGTACCAGCCGACACTCTTCAAGACGGCTCCTATAGAAACAAAACCAGACCCAGAAAGTAGCAAGCATTGGTGAGCATGTGGAGACGTTGGAACCTTGTGCCCTATTGGTGGGAATGCGAAGCGGAGCCTCTGCTGTGGAGAACGGGCTGGCGGTTCCTCAAGAATATTAAAAATAGGATTCCCATGGGATCCAGCAATTCCACTTTGGGGTGTTTACCCAAAGAATTGAAAGCAGGATCTCAATGAGATATGTGTATATGCATTCGTTTGCTAGAGCTGCTATGACAAAGTAGCACAGAGCTGAGTGACTTTCTGTCCTCACCATTCTGGGGGCTCAAAGTCCAAAATCAAGGAGTTGGAAGGTTTGGTGTCTTTTGAGACCTCTTCCTGACTTGTAGATGGCCATCTTCTGTCTGTGTCTTCATATGGTCTTCCTTCTGTGTCGGTGTCCTAATAATCTCTTCCTCAAGGACAGTAGTCACACTGCATCAGGGCCCACCTGTATGACCTCATTTTAACTCAGTAGAGACCCTGTCTCCAAAGACAGTCACATTCTGAGGGTCTGGGAGTTACAACTTCAATCTATGACTTTGGGCGGTTATGGGGGAGACAATTCAACACCCATGTTCACAGCAGCATGACTCACCAGGGCTAAGAGGTCGAAGCGACCCAAGTGTCCACTGGTAGTTGAATGAGTAGGCAAGATGTGGTACATCGCTACAATGGAACCAAAAGGAAGGAAACTCTGACACAGGCTACATCACAGAGGAACTCTGAAGATATTATGCTTAAGTACAATGCATATTCCAGTCACAAAAAAAGCCAGGGGTGCCTGGGTGGCTCAGTGGGTTAAAGCCTCTGCCTTCCGCTCAGGTCATGATCTCAGGGTCCTGGGATCGAGCCCCGCATCAGGATCTCTGCTCCGTGGGGAACCTGCTTCCCGCACAGCACCCCCCACCCCCGCCTTCCTCTCTGCCTCCTTGTGATCTCTGTCTGTCAAATAAATAAATAAAATCTTAAAAAAAGAAAAAAAGCTAAGTGCATGATTCCACGTTATTGAGGCAGGGCCTTGTCATGTTCATAGAGACAGAAAGTAGGATGGTGATTGCCGGGCTCTGGGTGAAGGGGATGGGGAGTTGTCTCATGGGGACAGAGTTTCTGTTTTGCAAGATGAGAACGTTCTGGAGGCAGATGGTGGTGGTGATGGCGTGGTGGGAATGCGCTTACCGCTACAAAGCTGTGCACTTAAGATGGTTAAGATGGAAAGCTTTATGTTACATGCATTTTACCACAATGAAAAGGGAAAAAGAGAAAGGTTAAGAACTCAGGCAAGTTCTCCTACATGCGGCTTCTTTCCAGGCTGTGCAGGAGATCACCAGGTGAGACTGGGGGGAGGAGGAGCAGAGGGAAGGGGTAAGTGACCCAAGTTGGACCCACACCACTCCTCTTCGCCATGGTGTCATCTGACTTCACTGAGCACTCCAGCCCAGCCACCAGTCCCGAACTCCTCCCCACGAGGCCCCGTCATCTCTCCCAGGAAGACGCGCATCCTGCACTGCTTGAGGCCCCACGTTCTGTGTCCTGAGATGGGGGCCTGTCCATCAGCCATTCCCAAGGCGCTGAGAAACCTTTGCTCTCCACTCCTGCCTTCCTTCCTGCCTCCAGTCCCGGCCTCTTCCCCTTCCTCCTACCTCGGGTGACGGGGGCCGCAGTGTAGCCTCATGTTCTAGAAGGGATGCATGCTCAGGTTCTTTGAAGAAGCTAACATGTTGTCACCCCTCGTCTTACTCCCTTTGCATCCACACCCCTCCGTGGTGGTCGGTGCTCATGGAGGACTCAGGAAGGGGGCATGGTGCGTGCATAGAGCCAGTGCTGCCCCCGGACAAGGCTGGATGGGTACCTGAGGGCCATCCTGTTGACCATATGCTCTCTTTCCTTTCTAGGACCTGAGTTCCTTTGCCATGCCGCTCCTGGATGGAGACCTGGAAAGCTCAGAAAAGCATTCTTCTCGTAAGGTGAGGCCACATTTCTCACAGCTTCTCATGGCTCACCTGAGGTGCCACTGAGGCAAGACTCCCTCAGTGAGAGCCCAGGACAAATGTCTACCTGCTCAGCCACCTGTGCTCTCACCTGTACATCTACCTTTGCTCCCACCTGCCCATCCACCTGTGCTCCCACCTGCCCATGCACCTGTGCTCCCACCTGCTCATCCACCTGTGCTCCCACCTGCCCATGCACCTGTGCTCCCACCTGCTCATCCACCTGTGCTGTCATCTGCACATGCATCTGTGCTCCCAACTTCACATGCACCTGTGCTCCCACCTGCTCATCAGCTGCTCCATATGCACTTCCCCTGCTCCCCCCTGCACATGCACCTGTGCTACCACCTGCTTATCCACCCGTTCTTCTACTTGCACTCCACCTGCTTACCCACTAGTGCACTCACCTCATGTGGCCATGCCCCTCCTACCTGCCAGCTGTCTAATTTGAGAGCCTGTTGGGCTTTGCTCCTTTCTCTTCTTCTCTGTCTGGGTTCAGCCACGGCCCCCTCAGACTCCCCAAAGGCGGCAGAGGTAACATGGATGATCAACAATAAGCCAAGAGAAGAGGCTAAAAGTATAGTATATGAGCAATTTGGAGACAGTCCGAGGCTTTTGGCTTGTCCCATCTTGGACAGGAGTTCCTTCTGCCTGCCACGCCCCCACACTCGTCCTGTTCCAGGCCTTCCTTCCCTTTGGTGTCCACACCACTTTTCCTTGCCTCTCTGTAGCTCATTGCCTCCCCTCCCCCACAGGCCAGTCAGCAGCTCAACAAGGCTGGTGGCCATACAGGGTCAGGCAGCCAAGGAGTGTGTATCCCATGAGGGTCGTTGGACCTGGCGAGAAAGGGGAGGTCAAGGCAGCCTGCAGTCAAGATGAGGGGGCACCCAGAGAGCTGGGTGGCAAGTCCTTCCTGGGCCCCATTACCCACGGCCCAGTGAGAGGTGGCGTGAGGAGGGGCCGGCCATTGGGGTGCCATGAGCCGTGTCCAAGTGGAGATACAGAGCCACACGATTCTTCAGCTCTGGGTACTGGCAGCCTGGGTCGGCGGCGAGAGCGCCTGTGCTGGGAAAGCTAGCCTGTTCCCTAAGCATTCGAATTGCCCACAATGAAGGCAACGTACTGGGTTAGGCCTGTGGGTTTCCGTTGTTCCCAGCTCCCCATCCTGAGTGAGCAGGCGACCTGATGAGCAGTCACTGTGGCCCAGCCTGAGACGGCGCTCAGAGGATGCTCTTAGGAAGGAGCCACAGACCTCCCAGCCCAGCAGGCCAGTCTGAGGCTGCAGGCCGGCCTCTTGGTCCTTGCGGGCTGGCCACTTCCAAGGGTTTGACTGCGAGACTCCCTCCTTCAAGTGAAACCTAAGGCAGAACTGGGCATGCAGTAAAGACCCACGGTGAGGACTGGGGCCTCATCCAGCCCCACCGGCCCCCACTTTGGGGGCTCCCAGAGGGTTCCAGAGCCAAATCACTATCACAAATGTGTGACTGCAGAGCGGAGAGGGACCTTGGAGGGTTTACTGTATACTCTGAATGCTGCGGGACACTGGTGACGGTGATGTGTGGGACACGGGCCTCCCATGCCTGTGGCCTCGCAGGAGAGGAGGTCTTGACCTCCCAAGAAGGCAGTGAATTGTTCCAGAAGGTCTGACTGGTGGTGCAGGAGATGGTGCAGTTAGCTGGGAAGGCTCTTCTCCCCGACACAACCTGGAGATAGGCCTTGGATGAACGCCACTGGATGCGAGTGGACAGGGCGCGGACGCTTGGGATTCCCACTGACCTTGTTGCCTGTGGCCTTCCCTTGGCCTCCCCACGCCCACCTCTGCCCCATCCCCTGACCCTTGAACCTTGGCGGTTCTCCAGTGAATCTCCGTGAGACTCCAGCGACCTGGAATTATATAGACGGAAAGCCAGCCTTTATGAGAGGCAGAGTTTGGCCACTACCAAGAATAATCTCCAGACCACCTTGGAAGGGCCGCCCTCTTCCCCTGCCAGATTCCATCCCTTCCTCTTCGCAATCCAGATCACAATGTCAACACCCCTGTGAAGGGGAATGTGGGTTAGATTCTCAGGCAGCCGGCCCTTTCTGCAGACATGATGCAGACGGCCGAAGAGGGTGGGAGGTGCCGCTAGGCTCCGTGGGCACAGATGTGTGGGAACAGTCAGGTGCTTGGCGGCCCCCTCTGGGTCCCAGGAGCCCACACGAAGGGAGACAGATGGCCCCACCTGGGCGCCCCTTCCCAGGTGCTCCTGACGACTGCAGGACACCAACCTGGCATGCCATAATGTCTGTCCATGCGGTCCCCCAGGCCCTCTCACTTTACCCCTGTCTGTGCTGTCCTTCCCCCCCCCCCCGCGAGACGGCAGCTTTTTGTTGCACACTGTGCGTCTGTGAGAAGCTTCCGGTCCCCTTGACTCCACACAGCTGAAGCATGTGGTTCCCAGGCCGGCCTCTGGGGGAAGCTCAATGCCAGGATTTCTAGATCTTTCCACACGATGGGCGTCACTCTGGGTCTGCCAGCATGACGTGGCATCTGGGCCGGTGGGGAGGGGGTTCTGAGCACCAGGCAGCCTGGCCTTTGCCTCAGCGGCCCTCCTGGCAGACGGCCCGACTGCCTGCCCCCCGTTTGCTCCTGCCCAGCAGCACACACCGGGGGGGGGGTGTCTCTGGGCCCTTTTGTTCATCCAAACACAGGGACTCATCCAATGACATTTACCGAAATTCTGTTGGATGGCAACTTGCTATAGGCACGAGCCGAGGCCTCGTCCCTGGAGCTTCCCGTGGTGCCCGGATCTGCATCACCCCCACCCAGAGGGCGGGGAGCAGATGGGGGGTGTGCTGGGCCGTCTTGTCTTCCCACTGCCCGGGAGCACGATTAGGCTCTCACAGTCCCCACCCCCCCATGGGAGAAGGCTGAGCTGGCCGTGTCCACCATCATATGGCCTTTTTTGGGGGAAAGGTCTAACTTTCTCTGGGTTCCTCCTCAGTGCCTGACTTGGCCTGAAATTCTCAGGAGTGGAATCCCAGGCAGGAGAACCCTAGGCTTCCCCCTGGTTTATCAAATGAGGTTCAGGCTGGCACGCAGAGCCCCCCTCTGTGGCGGGCTCCCCGGTGGTGCTTGGCTCCACCCATCCCTGGCAGCCCAAGAAAATGGCCGTTTGTGCTTCCCATTCTGTCTCCTTCTCAGGCCCTGGCTGCTTTCCACCCATCAGGCTGTCCAAAGCCCATCAGTTTTCGGGTTTTCTCTGACTCCACCCCCCCGACCCCCGTGGGACACAGTATTTCACCCTTTCTTCATCGGCCACGCCTTGCCTGCCATCCCCGTCTTGTCCCCCCGACTCCGACCCCAACACCAGCACCGGCACGGTTGTTCTGCCTTCTCCCTGCGGAGCTCCCAGCACGGTGCAGAGCGAGGCAAACACGGGGCTCCCCTGTGCGGTTAGCCTTGCAAGTAGCGCCTAAACAGGACTCTCGCCTCTGCCCTCAGACTTGACCTTGACGTCCTTGCACGTCTACCAGGCTGCTCCGCCTCTCAGCTATTTCTGCCGCTCTCGGGAGGGATATGGTGTAAAGGTTAAGGCCATGGGCCCCGAAGTCCCATGTCACCACTTACCAGCTCTGTGACCTTCACCCTGCGTCCCGCTGGCCCCTTCTCCTGGCTTCCGGCAAGTGGTGCTTGGCAAGTGACGGGGAGAGGCTAGCAGATGGTCTGCCCTGAGCAAATCTGACTGTGCCACTCCCTGGCTAAAAAACCTCAGAAGAGTGAGGTTCTTACGCCGCATGTGGCGTCCTTCCATGATTCAGCCTGGCCTCCCCAACGTTCCGCGCATATCAAGCAACTGTTCGTTCCTAATTCATGACGAGGCGTGTGGATCAAATATGCACAGACTTACCGTGTCCAGAAATTGTGCCGGGGCTTCCCTGTCGGCGGTCCCCTTAAGCACAGACCTTGTGAGTAGGCCTAGTGTCCCCGCTGGATGGTGGAGGATCCTGAAGCTTAAGTCACTCGTCCAGGCTGCCGGATACTGGGCCGGGATTCCAACTCCGGTCCCTGTGTCCACACTCCTTGCTTGTGTGCTGCAGGGTCGTTTCCCACCCTGTGTGCTCTTCCTCCCCCCCGCCCCCACCCCCCATGTCGACAGCCACATCTATTGCCTGGAGAGCTTCTCCTTGGGGTTCAGAAGAACTCCAGAAAGCCTGAGTGTGGAGGGGGAGAGTGGCAAGACCCGGAGCTCTGACGACAGGGGTTGGAGGGTTAGATGTTTTCCATATTAAACGGACAAAGAAAAACTTGGTCTCTCTAGGAGGAGAGGTGCTTGCGTGATGCATCTGTTGTGCACGTCCTCTGGCTTGGAAACTCACCCGCCCAAGGGACTGGCACGGAGCCAGCCAGTGCTCCCCCAATAGGGCCACACGGGCCCTCTGGCCTAAGGTGGGGAGTTGCAGGGAGAAGTGACTTGTGATTGAGGATCACCGAAGGGGCCGCACAAGGGCACAGCCTCCTGGAAGGAGCCACAAGCCCAGTTCGGGGTGCCCTCTGGTGGTGGGAGAGCTCACAGGGGCCCTGGGCCCCCCACTGGCCGCGTGTGGACAGAGCGGACAGAGCTGCACAGATGCTGCCGTTGGGCACGTGGGCTCACCTGTCTTCATGCATCTGTGGCCACCTGCCGAGTGGCCTCCCAGGGTCTCTGTGCTGGCTGCTTCCCTGGCCGGCGTGCCCCAGGAGCCATGTGGACAAGCCGCTGTTCTTTCCTGCTGTGGGACCAGGCGGGCCCTGAGGTCCTTCCACTCCCGTGTCGCAAGTTTGCCGAAGCCACAGCAGGAGCAGCACGTGCAGAGCCGGTTCCTGTGCGTCAGGGGTGGGCATGACACCTGGTCTTAACGGATGAGGAAACAGGCACAGCGAGCCTAAGTGACTCAGGAGGGCCCAGTGAGGGGTGAGCTGGGGTCAGACCCTTCCCCTCGGGCTGCAAGTACCAGTCCCTGCGCCCCCCAGCAGGACACATCCGATGTGCCTCCAAGTCTGTGAGCTGTACGCTTCAGCTTGAAGTTACAGGAGTCCGGACATTTCCCAGACCGTCAAGGTCAAGTCACCCATGGAGTGCGCCTCCGAGGTATACGGCCTTGTCCACTTGCTTCCTGAGCTCTGTCGGCAACCCCTGTCATCCCCGTGCCACAGCAGCTCGGAGGGGACATTCATGCTTCCTAGTGCCAGGTCACCTTGGACCTGAGCCCTGGGCACACCGCGTTTCAGGTGGTAGAGATGCCTGTTTCCTCCGCCAACGAGGGCCAAGAGAACATTGCATCGGTGTGGTCAGACCTTGAGAAGGACAACGTCAGGGTTTGAGAAGTAAAGGCCAAGGACAGACCCGCAGAGGGATAAAGGGAAAACACATGGCCTCGAGCCTTTCTTGCTGCCTTTCCCATCCCAGGAACCTCTTCCAGAGAGCTAGGACGGCAGTCAGTGGGCCTCTGGGTGGCTCTGACGAGCCCCCTTGGGTCCGGTGCTTTCCTCCAGACCATGGGGTGGCCCCCTATGTTTGCACAAGAGCTCATGGCTGTTTCTGGGGCGGGGGGCCATGGAGGAGCAGCCTCGTGATAGAGAACGTCCGGAGGGGCAGGCACGGGAGGGACCGACTCAGTGCAGGGCTGAGGGCTGAGGGCCTGTGCTCAGAATGACCCGTCTGTTTGTCTCTCTCTCCCCAGGTGGACAGCCCCTGCAGCTCGGGCAGCCCCTCTAAAGGGTTCTTCTCCAGAGGCCCCCAGCACCGGCCCTCCAGCCCCGTGTCTGCTCCCGTGAGACCCAAGACCAGCCCTGGCTCTCCCAAAACCGTGTTCCCCTTCTCCTACCAGGAGTCCCCCCCCCGCTCCCCCCGCCGCATGAGCTTCAGCGGGATCTTCCGTTCCTCGTCCAAGGAATCTTCTCCCAACTCCAACCCGTCTACCTCCCCCGGGGGCATCAGGTTCTTCTCCCGCTCCAGAAAAAGTAAGACATTGATGCTATTGATTCAGGTGGGTGCTGGGCCGCTGGGGACCTGACCTCCGAGGGCCGGTGGGGCACGTGCCATTCGCAGGGGCACCCAGGCCGGCCGGGGGGGTGTCGGTGACTTGGTGTCGAGTGCACGTGTCTTGTCTGTCCCCCAAGGACAGCGCTCTCTCCAGAACACGGTTGGTTTCCACCTGCCACTTTCTGCCTACACAAAGCCGTTGGTATGGGGGCAGCGCAAACATCCCAGTCCTCCCAGTGGGACTTGCAAGGACAGCTACATGAAACCTGGGCCCATAGCCTTCCCTGAAATCTGCACCTGCAGCAAGCTAAGCTTCGGCACATTCCCCGGGGCCAGAGGACCCAGACCTTGGTTTGCTCTGCCAGATGTGCCCCTCACTACCTGTGGCTTGGTTTTGTGGGGTTTGAATGGACCTGTTTCTGACAGATCCTGACTTTGTTTTGGGTGCTGGGCAGCTGGGGTTGATTTACTGGAGAAACAAGGGAAGAAAATGTGTGTTTAGGTGAGCACTCTTCACCTTCATGAGTATCTGTGATTTAAGGACAAAATACTCCCAGTTGAGCACCGTTGATCATAGCTGGGAGTGTAACGGGCGAGCCGCAAAGTAGACAGAGCGGGCTTCCTCCTTCCTCGTGTCTTAGCACATCTCCCCACGCCATCTGAGTCTCCGTGATGATGTAGAAAGCTCCTGTTTGGGACGGCAGTGATTTGGGAACCAAACTTGCCCTTTGGTGTGCGGTCAGTCGCCTTCCTTTCTTTCCAGATTGCATGTTACACTCAGGACCCGCAGGATAAAGCAACACTTGATCGGCAAGACCACGGCACAGAGCACAGATTCAGTCTCTGGGGCTTAGAAGGAAAGGGCAGGGGGCTCTCTCTTTCCTTTCCTGTGTGGTGTGGGGTATGGTTGCTGATACCCCTGACTTCATCCTCCTAATGACTGGCCCTAAGCGTAAATGCACAAAGGTCATGGGTCAGAGTGGCCCTCCAGCCACTGGGTGACATGCCGTTGGGAATTAAGTCTACAAACCCAGTAGGGAGAGGGGAGTGTCCGGGCACTGATGTCCTAATGCTCCAGAGAGAGTTGAGGCTTCCTTGACCAAGATCGTGAAACTCTCAAATATCCTCTAAGAGGAGGGGATGCCGGGCGGGTCGACGTCAGGACGCCTTGTTTCACTGGTGGCCTTACCACCAGTGTTGGTTATAACAGAACTACCTTGTATTAGCCTCCTGGGGCTGCTGTAACAACCGGGTGGTTTGAGCAACAGAAATGTGGACTGTCACATTTCTGGAGGCCGGAAGTCCAAATTCAAGATGCCACTTGAATGGCAGAGGTGGTTCTCCCTCTGAAGGGTCTTGGGGAGAATCTAGTCCACGTCTTTCTCTTGGCTTCTGGTGGCGCCGGTAACCCGTGGTCCCCGTTGGCTTAGAACAGCGTCACTCCAGTCCCTGCCTCTCCCTCCGTCATGGCACGGCATCTTTCCTTCGCGCGTCTGTGTCGTGGGTCTCCGCTCCTCTTCTTGTAAGAGCTAAGTCTCAGATTAGCAGACCATTCTGCTCTAGTATAGTCGCATCTCGTCTTAATGGATTACGTCTGCAGTGTTACCCATTCAAAAAGGTCACATTCTGAGGCTCCCGGAAAGGCATGAGTGGAGAGGACACTGTCCAAGCCAGTACACGGGTCACATAGGAAAAGCCAAGATGTACGGTTCATGTCAAGGGCTGGGAATGGAGAGGATTTGTGGGTGGAGAGGGCCCAGCCTGTGAAGGCCAGGGTCATTTCTGAAGGCGGAAGGGAGCAGCCAAGACGCGGAGTCTGGGAGAGTGGTGCGTTGGGTGGTGGTGCTGGGCTGGCCTTTCAGCTCGCTGGGAAGCAGAAGGCCATGCTGCCTTTTTCTGTTTGGCATTTTAAAGGGCTTTCAGTGTTCTTGGCCAGAAAATCTTGTTTCCAGGGTCTGTCTTCTAAGATGTTTCGGAGTATCCATAACTTGTCAAGGCTCCTCTCTACCATCTGGCCAGGCAGCTGTAGACTGAGCTCAGGGAGGCTCTGGTTGTCTCCGGCCGCTCGTGAAGACGAGCATTGATCAGGTGGGGCTGGGCGCTTGGCTTCTCCACAGAAGCTCCCTGGGAGGGGAGGCTCAGACCAGAGTAGGCCTGGTCCCAAGACCCATGCTCTTGACCCTGGACCACTGAGCCCAGGAACTTGGTATTCCCCAAGTGGAAGCCCATCCCGCCAGGCCCCGTCATTAATGAAGGTCTGTTTCCTGGGGGAAGGGGTGCCCTACTTGGCCGGGAGGAGCGTCGCCTGGGCTCCCTGCTGCCTGGTCTGCAGACGTGTCTCAGGGGTGTGCTTGCAGGGTGTGCCGTCTACTGCCTTCCCGCCTACTCGAATCAGTTCCTGGATCAAGGTCCCCAGACCGTGTGTTTCTCCCCACTGCCCCAGTACTGGTTTCACACGATGGAGCCTGAGAGTAATGTCACTCATCAGTCTGCGTGGAGGGTCTTTATGAGAAACAGCCTGTGAGACCCGCGATGTCCCCTGGAAGAGCATCACAAAGACGTCGTTCGTTCCCCAAGGCCCCTGGGAGACATTTCCTGTCCTGCCTTGGTCCTGAGAAGAGCTGAGCTTGCGAGCGATCGGGGTGTTTTGTCTGTAATGGACACTGACCATGTAACAGCTCTGTTGCCTGCCGGACGTCTCAGAGCTGCCTTTGTACAAGGGGCGTAAAGCGGGCTTCTCTAGCCTCATTTCTGAATCTAATTTTGGTCCCCATCCTTCTTTCATACCACTTTTTTTTTTTTAAACAAGGAAGACAACTCATTGGAAGGATTTGGGGTATTTATAGAATTCAAAGAAGAGCTGACTGCTGGGGACTCAGGAAGGGAGGGGACCGGGCTGGCTGTGGGGGCCTTGGCAGCGAGAGTGTGTGGATCTTTCCATGAGATCCAGAGACTTCCTTGTCTCTGTGTCTCTCCTCTTGCCATGCTGAAGTCATTATAGGATACCTGATTAGCCCAGTTCAGGCCTCTGAACCAGCTGCTTGTGGGGGGGAGGGGCAGATCCTGCAGCAAGACTAGAATGACCCATGGCCCTCCCACCCCCACCCCAGACATGGGCAGGAAGTTCCCAGAGAAGAGCCCAACAGGCAGCTCTCACACTCTACTCTCCCAGTGCCCGGCATGCGTGCGTGTACACAGCGTCCCTTTTGGGGCTCCATCCAGTCACTCTCTGTGCACTTGTAAGTGTGCACACCACTTCCTCCATAGGCGGCAACCCTGCGTTGTGTCCGACCAGCACAAGTAAGGATGTTTTCCAAGTCCTGCCTCTCGAGGCCATGCCCATTTCTCCTGGAGTTCGGTCTGCAGCCTGTCTTTCTATCGGGTGACTTAGTCCCCACAGGGTGGACCTAGAATCTGAAGCTTCAGCAGCTCCCCAGGTGGCACAGATATGTAGTCGAGCTTGATGAGCACTGTCATCAATGATCGGGACAAAGGAAGGACGATAGAAATCATGAGCACGGTCCTCTTCAAAGAGGACATAAAAAACGAAAAGGAGATAATTCAGTCTTCAGACGCTCTGAGAACAAGAAAGGGAATGTGGGTAGGAGCTATGGATCCAGATGCCACATCTGGTCTTGGGACCAGCGATTTCCCAGGTTGGCTGGTGTTTGTGGCCCAGGGAAGAGAACCAAATCTTGGTTATAGAAGGATCCATCCCATGGAGGACCTGCTGGTGTGGCGTGGCTGCCACCTCCCACTCCCTCTGCTCTGCTGATTTAGTGGCATGTGGATTCGAGGCATGTCTTGGGGACTCTGGGTTTTAATCATACTCCCTCCAGCCCTACTGTAGGCCCAAACATAATTCTCATGATGGTCAAGGTCTTATCCCACCCAAAACAATTATCCACTCTTCTGCCCTATCTTTTAATACAGTGGTGGGCAAACCAGAGCCCAGGGACAAAATCTGGCCGGCCACCTGTTTTTATAAATAAAGCTCTGTTGAACACCGTCACGCCCATTTGGCTCTTTGGACTGTGGCTGCCCTCATGTTGCAGCCATAGGATCCAGTCCACAGAGTCTGAAGTGTTTGGACCGAGCTACTGTCTAGTAGCTCCAGAAGTCCAGAGCAGTCATGCGGCAGGAGAAGCTTCCAGAAAGGTGAAGCTTTATCTTCAGAGGGGTTTTTAGAACTGAATCTTGCCTTTGGAGACGAGGGAAAGAAAACCCGGTCAATATGTTCGTGAACTCAAATAATAAGATTAAAGTTTTAAAAAATAATAAAATAATTTTGCACAGTCAGCAAGAACCTCAAGAATGGCTTAGCATCATGTCACTAAACTTTGCTTTCTAATTGTTGTAATTACAAATACGACACCTAACAATCACAAATAATGACAAATGCTTTTACTGTGTCTCCTAAGTGCATCATACATGACAATTATTTTAATCCTTGTGTAAAACTCTATAAAGTGACTTTTTACCATTTTTATCAAAATAAAAACTGAGCCACAGAGAGGGAAGTCATGGAGCAAAGGCCACACAGCTGGTAAGTGATAGAACCAAGATCTGAACTCAGGTGGTCTGAGTTGAACTCCCCAATCTACTTTTAACCCAGATGCGAAGACTCTGCTGGAAGGAGAAGATTTTAGGAATCTCGAAGCCAATAGTCGGACAACAGCCAGCCATTTAGAAGAAAGGAAAAGAGAAGGGTTTCCTTGGAGATTTCTTACACCAAAATAATTTCCATATAGAGCAAAACTGTATGTTATTCACATGTCCCCCAAAATGGAAAAATATAGTCTTGGGGTGTCAGGCCTTTCTTTTGTAAAGGGTGAAAAAATGGGTTTGTAAATGTGAGTAAACATCACACCTTTCTCACCATTGCTGGAAGTTGGTAGGCTTGATGCTCAGAGCATCAGGATGGTGGTCTGGGTAGAAAAGAGCTGGGGGGTCTGTATGAGAGAAGGTAAGGCGCATT